TTGCTCTTGAACGTAGAGTAGTTAAAGCAAAAGGAAGAAATGATGAAGTAAAAGAGCCGAATGGAAGATTTCAAAGGGTGGCTCAAGAAGACAAAGTAAAGTATTATAATGAAATGTGCAAAGACATAGAGATAGAAAACCAAGAGGGAAGAACTCGCTCAGCATTTCCCAAGCTGAAAGAACTGAAGAAAAAGTTCAAGCCTTGAGGTGCCACATTGAAGGATTCTATAGGGAAGATATTAAATGATGCAGGAAGCATCAAAAGGAGATGAAAGGAATACACAGAGTCACTGTACCAAACAGAACTGGTCAATGTTCAACTATTTCAGGAGGCACCATATGAGCAAGAACGGATGGTACTGAAGGAAGAGGTCTGCGCTGCACTGAAGGCACTGGCCAGGAAGCCCACCGTGCCTTCTCCTGCTGCCGGGTATCTGCTGCCAGGTGTCTCTAGCCAGTTCTTCTCACCGTCTTCAGGGTTACAGCTTGCTCTCTCTCTCTCAGTCTCCTGCTTCCAGGAGCTTCTCAGCACAGGGATCTCGGGTCCAAAGGACGTGCACTCCACTCCCGGTTGCTCTTCCTTGGTGGTGGTAGGATCTTCCTTTCTGCTCTGGAATTGGCCCTCTTTTAAGGCAAAAATGACCAATCCCCTTGGTGGGCCACAATTACCTTATCACACAGTCCCGCCCACTCACCTAGGTAGGAGTTACAAGACCATGGCTAGAAAGGCCACACACAAAAGTAATTAATCGTACCACAGAATTACACCTCAACATAAAGAAAATAAAATCCTCACAACTGGACCAATAAGGAACATCATGATAAATGGAGAAAAGAATGATGTTGTCAAGGATTTAATTTTACCTGGATCCACTATCAACACTCGTGGAAGCGACAGTCAGGAAATCAAATGATGCATTTATTTGGGGCAAATCTGCTGCAAAAGATCTCTTTAAAGTGTTAAAAAAGAAAAAGCAAAGATGTCACTTTAAGGACTAAGGTGCACCTGACCCAAGCCGTAGTGTTTTCAATCATCTCAGATGCATGTGAAAGCTGGACAATGAATAAGGAAGACCGAAGAAGAACTGATGCCTTTAAATGATTGTGTTGGCGAAGGATATTGACTATACCATGGACTGCCAAAAGAACAAACAAATCTGTCTTGGAAGAAGTATAGCCAGAATGCTCATTAGAAGCAAAGATGAGACTTTGTCTCACGTATTTTGGACATGTTATCAGGAGGGACCAGTCCCTGAAGAAGGACATCATGCTTGGTAGAGGATCAGCAAAAAAGAAGATCCTCAATGAGATGGATGGACACAGTGGCAGCAACAATGGGATCAAATATAGCAATGATTGTGAGGAGCCAGCAGTGTTTCATTCTGTTGTACAAAGGGTCATCGATACCTAAAAACAACAAATTGTTTCGGAGCCCTGGTGGCACATTGGTTAAGAGCTATGGCTGCTAACCAAAAGGTCAACAGTTTGAATCCACCAGCTGCTCCTTGAAAATCTTATGAGACAGTTCTACTTTGTCCTATAGGGTCTCTATGAGTCAGAACTCACTGGATGGTAACGGGTTTGGGTTTATTTGGTTTATCTATTCTTTTGTGTTTGACTCTTCGACTGAATGATGAATCCATTCACTGATTGATCTCAGTCCCAGCGAAAGAGCCCAATCCAGCGCTTGATGGAGGTGGGCACAAGGGAGGAGTTTGTTGAGGTGAGAGGCCGACGACGCACCAGGCCCTCTCCCCAAGGCCCTCTTGGCAGTGGTCGGGGTTCTGAAGCTCTGCGAGGGCGGCCACTGTACCTGCATCATGGTCCACCTGCTGGCTGCCTTCCTCTTGGTCCTTGCACATGGTGCTGCTGGCCACCCCCCCAGTCCTGGTCCTCTTGCCTCAGCTTCCCCATCAGCTTGCTCAACCAGAGGACAGCGTTAGCAGGTCACGCCCGCCTAGCCAGCAGGGCTGAGGGGTGCAGGGAAGCCGGGGCCCTCTGGACACACTCTCACCGGGCCTGCCCTAGGGGCCAGATTGACCCACAGGCCGGCAGAGCAGAAGGAGCACCCCTGATCTCAGGAACATACTCACATACTGCCTCCAAGACAATGACTAGAAGTGTCCCCCCACCCCGCCGCAGCCCTCGGGGAACTCAAGGCCCGTCTTCTCTTACCTGAGATAAAGTTCTGGAACAGCAGAAGAGTCCACACCTGCTACCCTGGCCCTGACCTTACCGTACGGCGTGTGTCGGGGTTGAGGGGGGAAGGAGGAGGACTGCTGGTCGCGATGTGCTGAAGTAGAATGTGCCCATGGACTCCACGGATTCAGCGTCAGCACAGGGTCCAGTGGCCCTGGGGAGAGGTGGAGCCCTGAACCTCCTCAGAGAGCCGGACCAGGACCTGCGGGAGAACCCGGCACCCCTTGGTCCAAATCGCATGGCTCCTCAAAAGGGCAGGACCCAGTGCCACAGCGCAGGCGTGGGAGCAAGGCTCCCAGGCCTCGTCCTCATTGTTTGGGGGTGGGCGCTGCAGGCCGCTGTACATCCCCATTGGCTGCCCTTTCTAAACGTCTCTTCTGTGTCTGTGTGTTCTTCTTCACGGAATCTTTCTCTGTAGGTCACTTCCTGTCTCCCTCTCTACAGGTCTCTACTAAGCAGTGGCCGAGGTCCCAAGTTCCTGCCTCCGAGCCATCAGTGAAACGAGGATGTTAGGGGACCCCAGAAGCAGAGGACACCTAATTAATTAGTACTCCACCAGTTACCATCCCACTTCCAGTCACCGCCCCAACACATCACGCACTTACTCTAACTTGTTTTACAGACTCTCTGGAGAGCCCCCGATGGATCCAGATCTAACCGGCTCAGAGTGGTCAGACATGCATGAACAGACAAAGATGATCGACAGATGACCCCGGGCTGCCACGTATGCTCAATAACACAAGAGAACTCACGCCAAGAAATGAAAAGACTAATGTCAAAGAACCAAAATCACTAGACATACGTCATCTGCAGTAGCCAAGCCCATTTCAAGCGCGAAAAGTCCCTTGGCCACTTCCGTGCCAAGTCTTAGCCCCGCACCATAATAAATAATCAACAGAAACTATGAACATGTAGAACTTCCTGATCCTGCCCACCTGCCTTCCTTCACCCCTATATGCTGTTGTTGTTGTTAGGTGCCGTCAAGTCGATTCCAACTCATAGTGACCCTATGCACCACGGAATGAAATTCTGCCTGGTCCTGCACCATCCTCACAATCATCGCTATGTGGGAGCCCGTTGTTGCAGCCACTGTGTCAATCCATCTCGTTGAGGGTCTTCCTCTTTTTCCCCGACCCTGTACTTTACCAAGCATGATGTCCTTCTCCAGGGACTAGTCCCTCCTGACAACATGTCCAAAGTATGTGAGATGAAGTCTCTCCATCCTTGCTTCCAAGAAGCATTCTCGTTGTACTTCTTCCAAGACAGATTTGTTCTTTCTTTTGGCAGTCCATGGTATACTCAATATTCTTTGCCAACACAATTCAAAGGCGTCAATTCTTTTCTGGTCTTCCTTATTCATTGTCCAGCTTTCACATGCATATGATGTGATTGAAAATACCATAGCTTGGGTCAGGGGAACCTTAGTCTTCAAGGTGACATCTTTGCTTTTCAAAACTTTAAAGAGATCTATTGCAGCAGATTTGCCCCGTGCAATGCGTCTTTTGATTTCCTGACTGCTGCTTCCATGGGTGTTGACTGTGGATCCAAGTCAAATGAAATCCTTGACAACTTCACTCTTTTCTCCATTTATCATGATGTTGCTTATTGTTTCAGTTGTGAGGATTTTTGGGTTTTTTTTTATGTTGAAGTGTAATCCATACTGAAGGCTGTGGTCTTTGATCTTCACCAGTAAGTACTTCAAGCCCTCTTCACTTTCAGCAGGCAAGGTTGTGTCATCTTGTTAATGAGTCTTCCTCCAATCCTGATGCCCCTTTCTTCTTCATATAGTCCAGCTTCTCGGATTATTTGCTCAGCATACAGATTGAATACGTATGGTGAAAGGATGCAACCCTGATGCACACCTTTCCTGACTTTAAACTATGCAGTATCCCCTTGTTCTGTCCAAACAATTGCCTCTTGATCCGTGTACAGGTTCCTCATAAGCACAATTAAGTGTTCTGGAATTCCTATTCTTCACAATGTTAGCCATAATTTGTTTTCATCCACACAGTCGAATGCCTTTGCATAGTCAATAAAACACAGGTAAGCATCTTTCTGGTATTCTCTGCTTTCAGCCAGCATCCATCTGACACCAGCAATGATATCCCTGGTTCCATGTCCTCTTCTGAATCCGGCCTGAATTTCTGGCAGTTCCCTGTTGACATACCATTGCAGCTGCTTTTGAATTATCTTTAGCAAAATTTAACAACAACAGCCTGCGAAATAAACTTTCTTCCTCTCAAAATCAGCGTCTGAGAGATTGGCTCCTAGCACGCTGGGCATCGACCCACTGGTCCGGTTTCAAGGACACCTCGCATCATGTGTTCAGTAAGGAAAACTGGCAGAAGAGGAATTCAAACTTCTCGTGCCAGAGAACAGCACATGCGCACGTAACCCCGCCTCTGTGGGCGGAGTTAGAATCCCAAGCCTGCGGAGCGCCGGACACGCAAAAAGAAGGCGCCCCGTGGGAGGTCTTACACATGCGCAGGACACTTGCTCATCAACTGACCAATAGCAAGCCTACAAGGCTGTACGCTGACCTGAGCTTCTCCCAACTGGATTTTCTGGCCTCCAGGTTTACGTGTGCGTAGTAGCTGCCCGGCAGGGAGCCCGACTTCCTTCACGGGCGCAGGCAAGGAACCGTTGCCCCTCCCCTTTCGCCCTTCCTTCCTTCCTGGCGAAGTAACTGCCGTGCGGAAGTGCACTGCGCAGGCGTGCTGCTGCGGTCGCGCCACCGGTGAGGTTTGGTCCAATCATCAGCCGAGGCGCTAAAGACGCGAACACCTCCGAGCTGAGAGAAAATGGCGGGAAGGTCGGGGGTTTCGAGTGCGGAGCTCACAGGAACCATGGACCAGTCTGAAAAGGGCGGAGGTAGTGGCGGGAGACCAAGAGGGCCTTCTTGGTAGCCGGGTTGGAAAAGGCACAGGGTGCGGGGTCTGAGCGCGCCCCAGCTTGGCGGGTGCGCGGAGGCTGGGGTGGAGGCGAGGATGGTCCCTCCTTGGGATGAAAGTGTGTGAAAACGACTCTAAGCTTTTTATTATAAAAACATCGACTCTTCTTCAGAGAGGGGGGAGTAGTTATCCACATATCCAATACCTAGATTTGACTTACTTAACTTGCACTATATTTTGCTCCTTGGAGTTTTTGCTGGGGCAATTTAAGTAGTGTCCCTGAGAATTTATGCATATTTACAAACAAAAAAAAGGATATTTCCCTCGAACTACACACCTAAGGGAATTCATAACTCTTTAGAATCCTCATCTTACAGCCAGTCTACAGCCACACATCCCTGTTGCCCCAGATGGCCCTACAGTACCGGGACTGCCTGGAGTTTGGCCTCTCTTTCCTTCCTGCAACTGGGGAAAGGAGGGACATGCAGCTTATTCACATTGTACTGAAGTTCACGAATTGCAGCCCAGCGAGGAGATAAAAGAAAAACAGAAAAACCTCCCCGGTGTGTTCTATGGGAATTCTGAAACATAAAATGCTGTAATAACGCACTTGGTCGTTCCCTCAAGAACTACCTACACCAGTGCCTGCTTGGTACACCCAGGGGCTTGGTAGTGTTTTTACAAAATAAAGATATGAATAATGAAATAAATTTAGCACATAGTTCTCTTAGAGTAGGGCTCAACACCCAGTGATATTCCTAAGGACAGAGAGAAAAATAAATGGGACAGATCCATATATATCCCTTTTTTTTAAGCACCTACTGTGATTTCTACGCACTATGCCATAGAAGTCTCTTAGTGTCCCTATTTCAGGTTACTCAGATAAGCTAATACACTGAAATGAAGGTTTATTCAACTTCAGTGGCAAAGGAAGAAATTTAAAGTTTCAGTCCATCAGACTGTTTCAGAAGGGGAGGCAGGGTGCTATCTGATGTCAGTGACCCTGTGGGGACACATGCTTCTCCATACTGAGCTGGTAGGACGACCAGTGGATAAAGGTTTTGCAGTAACATGTGGAAGGATTTTTAACATTTAAATTGATTTTTCCATTTTTCAGTCACCTTTCTAGAGGATCACACAAAACACACAGATGGAGCCTCACTGGTGGTAGCAGAACATGGGGAAGGAGTGGATAAGTTAAAGTGTACTCATGCACACTGAAATACCTGTGCAGTGGATTTCTAAAATAAGAAATTAAAATTAAGTTAAATTTTAATTAAAGTTAACTTTTACATTATTAGATATGTTTATACTAACACAGATGATCTTCAAAGGAGATACTTGTATGAGAGAAAAGCCACCGGAAAAATTATGTTAATCCGAGCTCTATGTGTGTTGCACAGAAAAATGTCTGGAGGCTGCATTCTTAATTTATGACTCTGGGGAGAGGATTTTGATTTAGAGGGTGGTGCAGAGATGAAGGGTCATTTTGAGTCATATGGTGTGATTTTTTATTAAGAAAATGTATGTTGTCCTTGTGGTTTAAAATCAGGAAAGGTGTGCATCAGGGTTGTATCCTTTCACCATACTTATTCAGTATGTCTGCCGAGCAAATAACCTGAGAAGCTGGACTGTATCAAGAAGAATGGAGCATCAGGATTAGAGGAAGACTCACTAACACCCTGTGTTATGCAGATGACACAACCTTGCTTGCTGAAAGTGAAGAGGACTTGAAACACTTAGTGATGAAAATGAAACACTACAGCCTTCAGTATGGGTTACACCTCAACATAAAGAAAACAAAAATCCTCACAACTGAAACAATAAGCAATATCATGATAATCATGATAAACAGAGAAAAGATTGAAGTTGTCAAGGATTTTACTTGGATCCACAATCAACACTCATGCAAGCAGCAGTCAGGGAATCAAAAAACACATTGCACTGGGCAAATCTGCTGCAAAAGACCTCTTTAAAGTTTTGAAAAGCACAGATGTCACCTTGAAGACTAAGGTGCTCCAGACCCAAGCCATGATGTTTTCGATCGCCTCTTATGCATGTGAAAGCTGGGCAATGGATAAGGAAGACCAAAGAAGAATTGATGTCTTTGAATTACGGTGTTAGTGAAGAATATTGAATATACCATGGACTGCCAAAAGAACGAACAAATCTATCTTAGAACTACAGCCAGAATTCTCCTTAGAAGCAAGGATGGCAAGACTACATCTCACATACTTTGGACATGTTATCAGGAGGGATCAGTCCCTGGAGAAGGACATCATGCTTGGTGAAGTAGAGGGTCAACGAAAAAGAAGACGACCCTCAAAAAGATGGATTGATACAGTGGCTACAACAATGGGCTCAAGCATAGCAACAATTCTGAGGATGATGGAGGACCAGGCAGTGTTTCATTCTTTTGTACATAGGGTCACTGTGATTCAGAATCGACTCGACGGCACCGAACGACAACTTGTGGAATATTAAAATGTAAAGGAGAAAGGGGGAATTTTTTAATGTCGTTGGAGCATCAGATGTTAATATCTATTGCTGTTAATCCCTTGGTTTCAATTATTGTACCATTGGTTACCACGTAGAGAGTGTCCTTGTACTTCAGACATTACACTGGAATATTAAGGGGTAATGGGGCAATACGTGCAAACCCTCGTGAAATAGTGGTTAAGAGCTACAGCTGCTAACAGAAAGGTCAGCAGTTCAAATCCACCAGGCGCTGCTTGGAAACCCTCTGGGGCAGTTCTACTGTGTCCTTTAGGGTAGCTATGAGAATCAACTCGATGGCAATTTTTTTTGTTTTTGTTTTTGTTTTGGTTTTGGGACAATACATTTGTAACTTATTCTCAAGGTTCAAAAATGTTAGCAAAAATGTTAACTGGATATTTTCACCAAAAAGAAAAAGAAAAAAAGGTCCTCCAAGGTCGAGAAGGGAGAGTGTTGACATGCCATGAGGTTGTTAACCAATGTCATAAACCAATATGTGTACTGACTGTTTAATGAGAAACTATTCTGTAAACCTTCATCTAAAGTACAATAGAAAAAACAAATTAAAAAAATGTTAACTGGGAATATAAGTGAAGGGCATATAGGAGCTGTGTGTCTGATTCCTGCAACTTTTATATAAATTTGAAGTTATTTTAAAATTAAAGGTTAAAAGGAATGGTTGATACTACACAGGCTGTTTTTTACCCTGAATTTTTATTCTTAACAAGTTATTAGTTGGTCTATTTAGCAGATAGTTACTGATCTCCTACTCTGTACTTTACCTTGTGACCGTTGGAAATGCAATGGAGAATAAAAACAGGTGAGATCACTTTCTAGTCTGTCCATAATAATACATGGATACATCGTTGCCCAAACCAACTGAAAAACTCACTTTGAAGACCACCAGGAATTTGAATATGGTCTGGGTGTTAAATGATTTTATGGAATTATTGTTTATCTTGTGATTTGGGGATTAGGGTTTATAAGGAAATGTCCTTAATTTTTAGAGATGCATCCTGAAGTATCTGGGGATCAAATGTCAAGAAGCCTTGGGCTTATTTGAACAGACTTCTGCACAGGGAAAAAACAACCTGACACAAATACGGCTAAATGTTAATAATGGTCAGATCTAGGTGATGATTGAATTGGGTTTATTACAGTATCATTTCTACTTTTATGTGTGTAAAATTTTTGATTATACAAGTTGCGATCATTAAGGTTGTGTGTCAGCTTGGCTGGGCCATGATCCTCCGTGGTTTGGCAGTTATGTAGTTTGGCAGTCATATAATGATGTAATCACCTCCATGATGAGATCTGATATAATGTGATCACCTCCATGATGGGATCTGCTATGAGTAGCCAGTCAGCTGAAAGGGAGTTTTCTTGAGGGTGTGACCTGCGTCCAATATAGGTGGACTTACTGGCAAGACTCACAGGCTTTTGCTGGCTCTGGATCCTGCAGTTGGCTCCTGTTCATCTGACCTCTGGTTCTTGGGACTTGAGCTAGCAGCTTACCTACTTATCTTGGAATTTGTCAGCCTCCGCAGCCTGTGAGCCAGAGGACTGTTGTCTAACCTGCCAATCTTGGGTTCACCAACCCCTACAGCTGTGCAAGTCAGGAGAAACCTCCAGCCTGACCCACAGACTTGGAACTTACCAGCCTCTACAAATGCATAAACTGTTATCCTTGATAGAAATATCCCTCTCTGTCTCTCTCTTTCTACATATATATAGACAGAGATGAATATATATATATAGATAGATAGATAGATAGATGCTTCACAGGTTTTGCTTCTCAAGAGAACCCAGCCTAAGACATTTGGTACCAGGAGTTGGTTACGTCAAGCTATTACTTCTGAAGTGAAGGATAAGTTATTACAGATGGCTCCTCCAACAACTAAAAAGGAGGCACAACACCCAGTGGGCCTCTTTGGATTTTGGAGGCAACATATCCTTTATTTGGGTATGCTACTCCAGCCTATTTATCAGGTGGCTCAAAAAGCTGCTAGTTTTGAGTGGGCCCCAGACCAAGAGAAGGCTCTGCAACAGGTTCAGGCTGCTGTGCAAGCAGCTCTGCCACTTGGGCCATATGATCTGGTTGATCTAGTGGTGCTCGAAGTGTTAGTGGCAGATACAGATGCTGTTTGGAGTCTTTGATGGGCCCCTATTGGTGAATCACAGTGCAGACCCTTTGGATTTTGGAGCAGAGCCCTGCTATCCTATGCAGATAACTACTCTCCTTTTGAGAAACAGCTTTTGGCTTGTCACTGGGCCTTGGTAGAGACTGAACACTTAACCGTGGGCCACCAAGTCACCATGCAGCCTGAGCTGCCCATCATGAACTGGGTGTTGTCTGACACACAGAGTAATAAAGTTGGACAAGCACAGCAGCACTGCATCATTAAATGGAAGTGGTATGTATGAGATGGGGCTGGAGCAGACCTGAAAGCACAAGTTGCATGAGGAAGTGGCTCACATGCCCATGGTCTCCACTCCTGTCACATTACCTTCTATGTCCCAGTCTTCACCTATGGCCTCACGGGGAATTCCTTAATGATTAGTTGACTGAGGAAGAGAAAACTTGTGCCTGGTTTACAGATGGTTCTGCAAGGTACGCAGGCACCACTCAAAAATGTACACTGGCAGCACTGTAGCCTCTTTCTGGAACCTCCCTGAAGGACAGTGGTGAAGGGAAATCCTCCCATTGAGCAGAACTTGGAGTGGTGCACCTGATTTTTCACTTTGCTTGGAAGTAGAAATGGCCAGATGTGCAAATCTGTATACTGATTCATGGGCCGTGGCTAGTGGTTTGGCTGGATGGTCAGGGACTTGGAAGGAACATGATTAGAAAATAGGAGACAAGGATTTATGGGGAAGAGGTATGTGGATAAACCTCTCCGAATAAGCCAAAGAAGTGAAGGTATTTGTGTCTCACATGAATGCTCACTAAAGGGTGACCTCAGCAGAGGAAGATTTTCACAGTCAAGTGGATAGGATGACGAGTTATGTGGAAATCAGTCTTCCTCTTTCCCCAGCCACTCCCCATCATTGTCCAGTAGGCTCATGAACAAAGTGGCCATGGTGGCAGGGATGGAGGTTATACATGGGATCAGCACCATGGACTTCCACTCACTAAGGCCAACCTGGCTACAGCTCCTGCTGAGTGCCCAATCTGCTAGCAGCAGGGACCAATACTGAGTCCCTGATATGGCACCATTCCTTGAGGTGATCAGCCAGCAACCTGGTGGCAGGTTGATTACGTTGGATGGCATCCATCATGGAAAGGGCAGGGTTTTATTCTTACTGGAATACACACTTACTCTGGATATTGATTTGCCTTCCCTGTATGCAGTGCTTCTGCCAAAACTATCATCTGTGGACTTACAGAATGCCTTATCCAGCATCATCATATCCCACACAGGATCGCCTCAGATCAAGGGACACACTTCACAGCAAATGAAGTGTAGCAGTGGGCCCGTGCTCATGGAATTCACTGGTCTCACCATGTTCCCCATCATCCTGAAGCAGTTGGCTTGGTAGAATGATGGAACGGCCTTCTAAAGACACAATTACGGTGACAGCTAGGTGTCAGTTCCCTGCAGGGCTGGGGTGATGTTCTCCAGGAGGCTGTATATGCTCCAGTATATGGTGCTGTTTCTCCAGTAGCCAGGATTCATGGATCCAGGAATCAAAGGGTGGAAATGGGAGTGGTACCATTCACTATTACCCCTAGTGACCCACTCATAAAATTTTTGCTTCCTGTCCCCGTGACCCTATGCTCTGCAGGTCTAGAGGTCTTAGTTCTAAAGGGAGGAATGCTCCCACCTAGAGACAACTGATTCCATTGTACTGAATGTTAAGAATGCCACCTGGCCACTTTGGGCTCCTTATGCCTCTGAACCAACCAGCAAAGAAGGGAGTTACCATATTGGTTGGTGTGAGTGATCCTGATTACCAAGAGGAAATCAGACTGATATTACATAATGGAGGTAAAGAAGAGTGTGTCTGGAATGCAGGAGATAACTTAGGGTGTCTCTTAGTACTAAAGTCAATGGAAAACTACAACAACCCAATTCCAATATGACTACTAATGGCCCAGACCTTTGAGGAATAAAGGTCTGGGTCGCTCCACAAGGCAAAGAACCACGACCAGCTGAGGGCAAAGGGAATGCAGAATGGGTGGTGGAAAAAGATAGTTCTGAATACCTGTTACCACCACATGACCAGTTGCAGACACAAGGACTGTAATTGGTATTTCTTCCTTGTATGTGTGTACCAGGTATTTTTGTTTTCTTCACTTATAAAATATAAGATGTAAACAGGGCTAGTGCATTTTCAGTTGTACACGTTAGTTGTATTATGTTGGGTGCAAGTATGACTTTATAATTGTCTTTATTCAGAGACTGTGTATGGTTTAAGGAGATGTGTACAGGTGTCAAGTTGACAAGGGTTGGACTGTGACCATTAAGGTTGTCTGTCAACTTGGCTGGACCATGATTCTCAGTAGTTTGGTAGTTATGGTGTAGTTTGGCAGTCATATAATGGAGTAATCACTTCCATGATGAGATCTGACATAATGTGATCACCTCCATGATGGGATCTGCTGTGAGTAGCCAGTCAGCTGAAAGGGGGTTTCCTTGGGGTTGTGGCCTGCATCCAATACAGGTGGACTTTCTAGCAAGGCTTTTGCTGGCTCTGGATCCTGCCGCTGGCTCCTGTTCATCTGCCCTCCAGTTCTTGGGACTTGAGCTAGCAGCTTACCTGCCAGTCTTGAGATTCATCAACCTCTGCAGTTTGTGAGCCAGCATCCTGCCAGCTTACCTGCCAATCCTGGGATCTGTCAGCCTCCACAGCCTGTGAGCCACAGGCCTGTTGTCTGACTTGTTGATTTTGGGTTCACCAGCCCCTATAGCTTCATGAGTCAGGAGAAGCCTCCAGTCTGACTCACAGACTTGGGACTTTTCAGTCTCTACAGCTGCGTTAACCATTTGCTTGATATAAATGTATTTATTTATACATAAACGCTTTGTTGGTTTTGCTTCTCTAGAGAACCCAGCCTAAGACACAAATTAAAAAGAAAACAGTCACAAACACCTTCTCATCATTATTTGAGTAGCTTTACTTTTTAAAGAAATATACATTTCATGTATATTTCTAACAGATCAGTACTCTTTAAAAAAAACATTGCTGTCAAGTCGATTCTGACTCACAGCGACCCTGTAGGACAGAGTAGAACTTCCCCATAGGGTTTCCAAGGAGCGGCTGGTGGATTCGAACTGCTGACTTTTTGATTAGCAGCTGAGCTCTTAACTACTGTGCCACCAGGGCTCTCTTTAAAAAAAAGTACAATACTATTATCACATCTAATTAATAGCAACAATAATTCCTTTACTTTATCAAATATCTAGCCATTTTCCAAATTCCATCAGTTATCTCATAAATTTTTTTTATAGTACATTTGCTTGAATCATGATCCAGATATGGTCCATTCATTGTGATCGGTTGATATGTGTTTCAAGTCCCTTTTAATCTGTAAGGATCTTTTTTTTTTTTTTTCTTAAAATGTATTTGTTAAATAAATTGGGTTGTTTGCCACTTGGAATTTCCCATGTCTACACATTGCTAATTATACCCCCATGTGTCGTTTAACATGTTCCTCTGTCCCTGTGTTTCCTCTGAATTGGTATTTAGATACAGAGGCTTAAATACAGGTTTCATTTTTTTTGTCAAGAATCCTTAATGGGTGATAATGTATTTTTATACCTCTCTTTTTTTTCCCTTGCATTATTTCCTTGGCAAGGTTTGACATAAGATTGAAAAGTAGGGAGGGAGTGCCCTTCTGCCATTGAGTTTTATTAAGGGGTGTATCTGTAGTTTTCTTTTATCCTTTAGGGAAAAGCTAACCAGTAAAGGGCCCCAGTTCATTCCTTGTAACCTCTCCACCTCAGGAAAAGGAGTGAGACAGCACTCTGGCTGAAGACCTGCCCTCAGTGTGCCTCGCCCCTAGCCAGGGCTGTCCAACCCATCCTCAGGCCTTTCACACTTTCTGGTTCTGAAAGTTTTGGTTTTGTTTCGATAGGGCAGGCCAAGTTCTCAAAGAAGATCGAAGATTTGATGGAAATGGTGAAGAAGCTGCAGAAAGGTCATGTCTCCTCTGTGTCTGATGCTCAGCCTGGGGTGTGGGGTCAGGCAGACATAGGTTCAATTCCCAGCCCCACAATTCACAACCTAGGGAATTATCCCATTCACTTTCTTGTAAAATTTAATTCTTTAACAATATGGCCTCATGGTTCAAAATTAGAAAGGAATAGAAGGCAAAAAGTTTCCCCCAAACTGTCTCACCCCCTTTGCTGGCCACCCATTTGGCTCCTACTATACTCAGAATTAAATCCAGAAGCTTTCCTCTTCACAACCCACCCCTCACCATTTCCCTCCACCTCACCTACTCTCTGTTGCTCACTGGACTCCTTCCAACCACATTCCCACTTCCTAGTCCTCCCACCACACACACCTGCATGGCCTGCTCTCCTCAATTGATTTGGGGCCCTCAGGAGGCCTTTCCATAGCTGAAGAAGCTCTTTTTAACTCCTTGCCCTACTTTCTCTTGACAGCAGTTACCACTGCCAGACTGTGTCCCTACCTGTCTGTTCCCTGTCTTCCCTACCCACAACGTAAATCCCTTGAGGGCCCAACGAAGTACCTGCTAACAGTAGGGGTTCAATAAATTCATGGTGAAAGAAAGCAGCAAAGACAGGGTTGGTGCCCACCCCACCTCTGCCTGTTCTGGACAGCCAGTCGTGTCATCTCCAGCTCAATTGCTTTTTTTCTCTGCAGCAGGAAGCTTGGAGCCTCGGGTTGAAGTCCTGATTAACCGGATTAACGAGGTTCAACAAGGTGAGCTCAAGGACCTCAACTTTGACTGCCAGCCAATATCAACTACATGATTTGCAGGGCCCAGTGGAAAATGAAAATATGGACCCCTTGTTAAAACATCACTAAGATTTTCAAGATTGACAGCAGAGCATTAAACCAAGCACTGGGACCTATGAGACTGCCCAGTCACACAGTCATGACACCAGCCCTGCTGCCAGCCAAGCCCAGCAAGAAGGGCTTGGGCCCTGGAAGGCCCTCTCCTCCTCTGCAGAGTCTGGGCCCCTCTAGGTTTGCAAGGGAGAGCGAGGCTGGTAGCTGCACTCACACAGTGTCTGTCCTCCTGTCTTTGGCGCAGCCAAAAAGAAGGCCAGTGAGGAGCTGGGAGAGGCCCGGGCCCTCTGGGAAGCCTTGCAGAAGGAACTGGACTCAAGTAAGTGTGCCAGGGGACACCCAGGGATCCCCACAATGTCTCCTGACCCCTGAACTCAATCTTCCAGACACCCATGGCCCACAAGACCCAGAGGAGTCCCATGTCCCCTTCGGCCTTATCTCCAACAATCTCCCACTCTGCTATTGGGAGTGTTCCTGAGACACCCTCCAAGCAGCTCCTGCCTCGGTCCCTTTGCCAGGCTGTTTTCTCCCTGCGTCTGGAACACTCTTCACTACCTCACAGTGCCATGCAGCTCTAATGTCCCCTCTGAGAGAGGCCTTACCTGGGTCATCCCATCTGAAGACTGCACCCTGCTACCCCTAGTCACGTGCCCCCACACTGCTGGATGGTTCCTTCATAGCCCTTATCTCATGTGACGTGTTTGTTTCACTCCCCTCTGTGTAACAGCATGTGCTTTCCACAAGGTCCTCGCACCACCATCTGTAAATGTCAGGGCGCTTTGGTGCTTACAGGGAAGGTGGGCACAAGGGGGAGGGGGTTTGCCTTAAGGTGTCCACATTCAGGGGTATGGGCAGGACTGTGACAAACCTGTGTGACTGCCGGCAAACCCGTCCCTGATGCTTCAGTGTCACTGTTTTCCAGTGAACGGAGAGAAGGTGCGCCTGGAGGAAATCTTGAACAAAAAGCAAGGTATTTGCAGCTGCTCAGTCTCCACACTTTTGTCTTCACTGCCCCACAGAAGCGCACTCATGCCACAGCAGCAGGAACCCTCTGAACCTGCAGTTAGGCTACATCCCTCCTCTGGCCTCCGTCAGATTTGTAGTAAATGATAACATCCAGTCCGTTGCCCGCAATACCTGACATGATCTTGTCCGTGACCTCTGCCCAAACCCAGTGCCCTTGACAAACTTTCACAGGCCTCCTGATTCCTCCCCCTGCAGATACACTGAGGATCCTGCGGCTGCACTGCCAAGAGAAAGACAATGAGGCACAGAGGTAAGAGGCTCTGCCCAAGGCTTCCCCTGCACCCCCCTCCACATTCTGGCAGAGCAGAGAAAGCAAGGGCAGTAAATCCCAGACATGCAGTCCTCACATTCTCCTTCAGTTAAATGGAGAGGCCAGACAAGCATCTTCCCTGTTCAGCTCCAACATCAGACCGTGGTGTTAAGGGCAACTCTGTCACTCACTAGTATAATCATTTTACTAGTTTGTCCATTGAATTCCTTCACCTGGATTTTATTCTGTGCCTTTCTTTCTTCACCATCCAGCTCTTCAGCTGTCTGTTCACTCATCTGTCCATTTAGGCATCCAGCCATTCATTTATCACCCACCCAACCATCTATCTCTCTCCATTTATCCACTGTCTTTCCATCTACCCAATTATATGTTCATTTCTCCACCTCCTGAATGTTTATCTCGTTTTTGTGACCAGAGGCCCCAGGCCTTGACACCCTGAGATTGGAACTGTTTGGGAAAAGCTGATGACAGTTAATGTATGTTTGTGCATGTGAACTCAGCCATGCCCACAGTGATCTCCCTAATCCTCACAATGATACTTCTAGGAGGCAGGTACTTCTGTCATACCCCCACCACCACCACCACCACCGTGTTAGAGAGGGAAACTGGGAGCTGGGAGGAGAAGCACTTGGACCCAGTTACAGTGAGTTGCAGAGCCAGGGCTCAAAGCCAGACCTGCAGCACCGGTTACATCAAACCACTAGATCCACACGTAGGCTGGTGGCAGATAGGACAGGTAGGTGATGGTCTCCACAGAGCACTCAACAGTGGGAAGCAGAAGCGTTTCATGTCAGGCCCCACCCAGCCTTGTCCTCCGAGGGGTCATTCAGAGAACATGGCTGAGGGCTGCCTGGCCCTTCCCAGGAAGCACACCATGTTGCAGGAGTGCAAGGACCGAATTTCTGCCCTAAACTCCCAGATAGAAGAAGAGAAGAACAAACAGAGGCAGCTGAGGTAACCCAGGGGCTAGGGTAGGGGTTGTGTCAGGGATGGGAGGCTGGAAAGGAGCAGTGAGCTGAGCCTGGGAAGATCAAGCTGGGAAGGTGGGAGCATGGGCAAGGACCTCCAGGGTCTGTGCAGGGAGACCCCAGCCCGGCCAGGCCCTGTGTATAGGGGGGTCTTGGCCCATGGCCTCTCATTCCTGTGTGGCTGGTCCCCAGGTTGGATTTCGAGGAACAACTGGAGGATCTGATGGGCCAGCACAAAGACCTCTGGGAGTTTCATGTGAGTCTCTGTCTCACCCCTCTCAAAGCCTCTCCTTTACCTTCCACATCTTCTTCCAGGCCCAAGCCAAGGGTCATCCTCCATACCTCCTTCCTTTCACCTGCCACAACCAGTTCCTGAGTAGGTGTTGGTGGCTGTAAGGTTAGAGTCACCCTGCATCTGGTCCCTCCTGCCTCCAGTGTTCTCAGAGCCAAAGTTGGGCATTCATTCTTGGGCGTCCATGGGTGTGCCCAGCACCATCACAAGCACAGAAGAGATAGTGTTTGCCACCCTGGGCCTTCTTGGTGGGGGGTGGGGGAGGAGGTTACCAGGTGCCAGACAAGGAAACAGAGGACACGGTGCCGGGAATAAGCAGCCACAGTGCCGCACTGGTGTAAGTCCTCCTGGGCCAGTTCCCATGCTTGCAACAGTCCTGACCGTCAAAGCACACCAGATGTGGGTCTCTTGGGTGAGAGTTCATGGCAGAGGGAAGGGCCAGTGCGAAGGCTCTGAGGCAGGCACGCCTGAAGCTGCAGGAATGGAGATGGGGAGAGTGGTGGGAAGGGAGGCACCTGAGTGGATAAATGCTTGAATGAATGAATGACTGGACTAGATAGGGCTTCCCTGAGGTGTGGGAGGGAGGTGCTGGGAGATGCAGAGCTGCTTCATTTCTGCCCCCCAGAGGCCAGAGCAGCTGGAACGGGAGATAGGCAGCCTGGATAGCAGCAAGGAGCAGCTGCTCAAGGAAGGTGAGGCCTGGGGTTGGTGGGGGGAGGGGGGAGGGAGGTAGGCAGCCCTCACCTGCCTGACTGCCCTTTCTTGTCCATCGCCTGCCCCATCCCACCTCAGAGAAGCTGATCCAGGTGAAGCTGGAGGATGTGAAGCATCGGCTGCACTCCCTGTGTGGGGCTGAAGGTCCCTCGACCATCAGCGAGGGGCTCTTCCTGCGCAGCAAGGAAGCTGTGGCTGCTGTGTAAGAATGGGGGGAGGAGAGGGGGAGGAGGGAGAGGTGGCCGGTACTGACGCCCCCCTGCACCCCCAGGCAGCTGTTTGAGGAGGAGAAGAGCAAGGCTGAGGAGCTCCTGGAGGCTGCTTCCCAGCGCCAGCAGCAGCTGCAGGAGAAGTGCCAGCAGCTGCAGGAGAAGCGCCAGAGGTGGGCGCGGAGACCCCAGCCTCTGGATGGGTGTCTGTGCGTCTTGTCCTCAGAGCTTCACACCCTCTTGTCTCTCCCTCCTATCCCACTCCCTGTCCAGGCTGAAGGAGGAGCTGGAGAAGCATGGGGTGCAGGTTCCTGCCCAAGCCCACGACGCCCAAGAGGACGGGGCCCTTCCTGGAGAGGTGGTGAGCCCAAAGAACAGGGACGTGGAGTGGGGGCTGGACAGCAGGGAGGCAGCTGCTGGGAAGGGCATTCTCAGCAGGACCACAGCCAGGGCAAAGGCAGTGGTGGGCAGAGGAGTGGGCTGGAGGGAGTGGGTGCAGGTGTCCGTTGATTCCCACCCAGCACCCTGATCCCTTGCCCCTCCCAGGTGCAGTGCCTGCCTCAGGCCAGTCCCAAGCCCCTCAGGGCACACGAGGAGAAAGACTCAGAGCCACCCACTGAGTAGAGCCCAGCGCCAGTCTAGTCCAGAGGACACCTCCCCATGGACCACTGCACCTCCTCCTCCCTGTCCCTACCTTACTCCACGGGGCCACAGGAAATAAAAGTGCTGTTTTCATACTGCCTGCCTCAGCTGAGTCAGTGCTGGGGCGGGGTGGGGGGGAGGGTAGGGCCCAAGGACCCCCTTAGCCACTGAGCGTGGTTGAAGCCTTGGCTGGGCCCTGCTCATTGGCCCCAGCTGGAGGCACACAGCAGGCGCTCAATAAATGCTTGAGAGCCAACTATAAAGCATACATGGTGTCAGAGCTACCTTACCCCGAGGTTCTCTGCAGGCCTCTCTGACAGACAAAGTTAACATGTCAGCTGACAAAAAGAAAATACTAAAGGGCCCAGACCCATTTTCACAGAGCTGGCAACACATCTGAATTTGGAGCTGAGAGGTAGTAAATCGGTGACTGGTAACTTGATAACAGGTACATTTTTAAAATCTACAGTAAACATATTTACAGGGGACATGTAGAAGTCAATTCAGTAAAAATTATACACTGGACTATCCTACCAAATTGAAAATAGTTTTTTAAAAAAGGAATTGACAAGCTATTTGTAAAATGTATTTGGAAATGTAAAGGTGCAAGAAAAGCCATGAGGATCACCAAGGAGATGTGTTTGGTGAGAGGATTTTCTCTACCAAATATCAATACGTATATAAAGCTATAGTAACCAAGACAGAATTGGCCAAGGAGATGGATAAATAGACCACTGGGGCTAAAGAGCCCTGAACAAGACCCTCGCATTTTTAGACATTTAATAGACGACGGAGATCACACTTCAGAGAAGGCAAACTTCCCGATGAAAGCTGCAGGGACAACTGTGTATGTGGAACACACTGACGTACTATTTTCCCACACCATAGACGCACATTATGTCCAAACCAAAAAAAAAAAAAAAAACCCGATGCCGTGAGGTCAATTCTGACTCACGGTGACCCTACAGAACAGAGTAGAACTACCCCACAGGGTTTCCAAGGAGCGCCTGGTGGATTTGAACTGCCGACGTTTTGGTTAGCAGCTGAACTCTTAACCATTATGCCACCAGGGTTTCCACATTATGTGCCAGGGTAGTAAATAAATACCTAAATATGAAAGCAAATTATAAAACATTTAGAAGCTATCATGGGGAAAAGGAATTATCTCTTTAAAAGGTTACACAATGGACCACAAAGGTGCTATGCAAACGGAGGTTAGGGTTGCAGCTGAGGAACCTAAGACTACAGGCCCAGTGAGTTTTGAGCAGTCAGCAAAGATTCTAGCACACAGTGGACAGCACCCCCTCCCTGAGTGGCAGCCACTGGCAGTTTCGCTGTGGTGGCTGGAACCTACTTGCCTGCCTAGGTGACCAGCTACAGGAACTGCTCAGCATTTGGAGATGCCAGCCTTGCATGCTGCCACAGGGCAAGAATGTGCAAGCTCTCCATCTTCTAACACTTGAGAGACATGGACACCCACTGCCTGGGGCTCCTCGGAATGAGCACACAGTGACCTCCCTCCTCGGTGAACCCGGGTTCTGGCCACACATATCCTACACCCAGGCCCTGCCCCCTCCCACCTTTAGGGTCTCGGTCCCTGCCGACCCACGGAGTGCTCTGCAAGCAGAGAAGGGGGTCACCACACATGGCTCCTGGATCAGTACTGGCCTTCCTGGGACTTCTCTGGGGAGGGGGCTCCCATGGCTGAATGGACCCTACTTTGTCTCCTGGGACTTAGGCAGAGCCTGTGCTCTGACAAGCTCCCCACCTGTCTCCCCAAATGGCACCCACTTTTCTGGTGCTTTGGGGCTTTTACTTCACTGGTGGTTAGCATTTTCCTGGCTTAGTGTAAAGCATCAATGAAAACCAGTACTCCGGGCATTCTGCTAAGAATGCTACCAAGCTGATAGCTGGGATGTTTCTGTGCCCATTTATTACTATCTGGAGTCACTGGTTTCTCCCCTTGGTTTTCCAAACTTCACTTGCTTACTAAACTCAGTGGGGAGAAGGGGCTGCTGTCTCCCTTGAGGATGTGGATCTGTGAATTCCTTGAAGTGGATTGGACTTTATACATGCTGAGGCTGTGCTATTAGGTGCATAAACATTTAGAATTGTGAGAACACCCTAGCTGAGTGACTCTTACATTACAGATTTTGCTCGTCTCCAAAAATGCTTTTTGCCTGAATATCAACTCTGCCTGGAGTAAGTATAGCTATTTAGGCTTGTATTTTCATAACATACATACCCATTTCATTTACTAAATCTTCATCTTCTGTTGGAGGTCTGCGACTTGTAATCAGCATGTGGGGGTGTGACTACGCTGGTAGAGCTAGGGGTGACTGCAGGCCTGTTGCCAGCACAGGGGCAGGAGCAGCTGCAACCTGAGCCCTGTCACTGGGTTTGTAGCCTGGTCTCCTGGGATGGCCCAGGGCACTTGGGAGAAGTGTTCTCTACCCTGGGTGGGGCCTTGCTGAAATCGAAATTTAATAAAAAAAATCCAATCGGAATTCAGACAGGGCTTTCGGATGGGAAAGGAAATGGAGTGATTTAAATATCATCACTAAGAATCAATGTAAAGGGGAAAAACGAAGAGAAAGAGGAGACTTACCCTACAATGTATTAAAAACACTGTAAAGCCACTGTGGTTTAAACATTATCATATTTATGCACCAATTGCTGTTGAGTCAAATTCTGACTCAGTGACACTATGAGTATCTGCAAACAGTTTACAGAAAAATGAAAAAAATGTCAGTCACAGTCCAGATAAATACCAGTCAGGACTCAGATTACAAAGAGGAGTGACCCAATTCAACAGAGTTTAAGCAAAAACAACCACTGGCACAATGGCAATCACAGGGAAAGGCAGGTGGTGTGGGACTCCATTAGATAAGTCACAGGATACCACAAAAGGCTGCAATACGCAACCAGGTGAATTGTGAATAAACACCAAGGCCCAGCAGAATAAGCACCTTTTCCTGTCTCTCTCTGAAAAAACTTTTCCAAGACATGCCACAGAATCATTCTCCTAATGCCTCACTCCCCCATGTCTGTCACTGTCGTACTGTGGGGGCTGGTGTGTTGCTGTGATGCTGGAAGCTATGCCACTGGTATTCAAATAACAGCAAGGTCACACATGGCAGACAGGTTTCAGCTGAGCTTCCAGACTAAGACTAGGAAGAAGGACCTGGTGGTCTACTTCTGAAAAAAAAATGAACAGCAGCACAATAGTGTCTGATATAGTGTGAAGATGAGCGCCTCAGGTTGGAAGGCACTCAAAAGATGAGTGCAGTACATCCACAGGAACTCCCAAAAATTCAAGCCGGATTCAGAAGAGGATGTGGAACGAAGGATATCACTGCTGATGTCAGATGGATCCTGGCTGAAAGCAGAGAATATAAGATGTTAACCTGTGTTTTACTGACTATGCAAAGGCATTCAACTGTGTGGATCATAACAAATTGTGGCTAACAGTGCAAATGGGAATTCCAGAACACTAAATTGTGCTCACGATGAACGTGTACATAGATCAAGAGGCAGTCATTCAAACAGAACAAGGGGATACTGCATGGTTTACAGTCAGGAAAGGTGTGTCAGTGTTGTATCCTTTCATCACTTGTTCAATCTGTATGCTGAGCAAATAATCTGAGAAGGTGGACTATATGAAGAACGGGGCATCAGGATTGGAGAAAGACTCATTAACAACCTGTGATATGCAGACATCACAGCCTTGCCTGCTGAAAGTGAAGAGGACTTGAAACACTGATGAAGATCGAAGACTACAGTCTTCAGTACGAATTGCACCTCAACATAAAACAAAAATCCTCACAACTGGACCAATAAGCAACATCATGGTAAATGGAGAAAATATTGACGCTGTCGAGGATTTCATTTTACTTGGATCCACAATCAACATTCACGGAAGCAGCAGTCAAGAAATCAAACAACATATTGCACTGGGCAAATCTGATGCAAAAGACCCCTTTAAAGTGTTAAAAAGCAAGGATGTCACGTTAAGGACTAAGGTGTGCCTGAACCAAGCCATGATGTTTTCAATTGCCTTACAGGCATGTGAAAGTTGGGCAATGAATAAGGAAGACCGAAGAATTGATGCCTTTGAGTTATGGTGTTGCCAAACAATACTGACTATACCACGGACTGCCTAAAGAACCAACAAATCTGTCTTGGAAGTACAACCAGAACGCTACTTCAAAGTGAGGATGGCGAGACTTTGTCTCACATACTTTGGACACGTTATCAGGAGGGGCCAGTCCCTAGAGAAAGACGTTGTGCTTGGTAAAGTACAGGGTCACCGAAGGAGAGGAAGACCCTCAACAAGATGGACTGACAACAGTTGCTGCAACTATGGCCTTAGGCATAATAACCATGAGGATGGCGCAGGACCGGACAGTGTTTCGTTCTGTTGTACATAGGGTCACTATGAGTCAGAACCAACTTGATGGCACCTAATGCCTCCCTGGGCAGAGTTGGACAAAATGCCCAACCCAAAAGAATCACGGAAAAGATTCTTTAAGCTAACCATGAAGAGCCTGGTCAAGATGAAGCTGAATAAATCTGTGTGCAGGTGCACTGTACAAGGGCACAGTGGGCAAATCACACCCTCACTGCTAACTGCATGGGAAAGATCAACATGAATCCAGTTCCACCTGGAAGTGGATCCAGTCCTCACCTTCCCACTTCTCCATCCTTGTAGTAGGCCACTCCAAGCAGCAGTCTCTCATCCCCAGCCACCTGGGGCTAGGTCACTGGGGTACCAGCTGCGAGTCTCCAGGTCCACGTGACTCCTTCCACTTCAGACCATCTGGCCTCTTGTCTGATCCTAACCACCCCCGGTTAGGCCAGAGTACACAAAAGAACAGTCCTTCGGACAGCTAAATAGGCAGACATCAGCCCCTTTTAGCTCCCACTACACTTACAGCTATGGATTACCAGAAAGTATACAAAGAGACACACAGGGTAAGGTCTGGGAGGGGTCCCGGGTACTCATGCATGAATCCTACAAACCTCATACGTTTGCTATCCTGAGTTGAAATTTTTGGGCTTAAAAAATAAAAATATTCACAGGGAAGATGTTTATAGCAAATTTCCCCTTAGTAGAAAAACACCAGTCTATAGCCAACTATTCTATTTCCAATTTAAAAATTGACATTTCTTAAAGAGTCGTCACTCAAATAGACATGCACACCTATGTTCATGGCAGCATTGTTCACAATAGCAAAACGATGGAAGCAACCTAGATGCCCATCAACAGATGAATGGATAAACTATGGTACATACACGCAATGGAGTACTATGCAACGACAAAGAACAATGAATCTGTGAAGCACCTCATGACATGGATGAAACTGGAGAACATTATGCTGAGTGAAATAAGTCAATCACAAAAGGACAAATATTGTATGAGACCCTTATTGTAAAAACCCATGAAAAAGTTCACACACAAAATGTAACAATCGTTGTCGGTTACCAGGGATGGGAGGCGTGGGGGGGAAATACTAAATAGGCAATAGATAAGTGGTATCTTGGGTGAAGGGTGAGACAGTACACAACACAGGGGAAACTAGCACAACCTGTAAAAGGAAAGATCATGGAAACCCCACAGACACATCCAAACTCCCTGGGGAGGGACTGAATTGCTGGGCGGAGGGCTGTGGGGACCATGGTCTCGGGGAACATCTGGATCAACTGGCATGACACAGCTTATAAAGACAATGCTCTACATTCTACCTTGGTGAGTAGTGTCTGGGGTCTTAAAAGCCTGTGAGCGGCCATCTAAGATACTCCACTGGTCTCTCCCTTCGGGAGCAAGGGAGAATGACGAGAACAGGATACAAGAAAAAGATTAGTCCGAAGGACTAATTGTCCACAGCTACCAAGGCCTCCACCGGACTGAGTCCAGTACAGCTAGATGGTGCCTGGCTACCACTGACTGCTCTGACCAGGATCACAACAGAGGGTTCTGGACAGAGCTGGCGAAGGATTTAGAGGATAATTCTAACTCACAAAAAAAAAGACATTTACTCGCCTAAATGAGACTGGAGAAACCTCGAGAGTATGGCCCCCAGACACCCTTTTAGCTCAGTGATGAAGTTACCTCCGAGGTTCACTCTTCAGCCTGGGAGTGGATAGCCCCATAAAACCAAATGAGACTAACGAGGTACAGGAGTCCAGTGACAAGGGCCAGAAGGCAGAAGGGGACAAGGAAGCTGGTGATAGGGGACCCAAGGTTGAGTAAGGATATTGTTGATGTGTAGTGAGATTGTTAACCATTGTCATAGGGCAACATTTGTAGTAACTGTTAAATGAGAAACTATTTTGTTCTGTAAGCCTTCATCTTAAGTGAGAATAACAGCACAATTGGAAGAGCGTAGTCAATGTCACTGAACTGTGTATGTAGAAAGTTTTGAAACAGTGTATCTTTAGCTATGTGTATTTTCACAAAAAAAAAAAAAGTGTTGAGAATTTAGAGGGTTAATATGTTGTGGGGTTGTTAACCAATGTCATAAAACAACATGTGTACTACTGTTTCATGAGAAACTATTTGTTCTGTAAGCCTTCACCTGAAGTACAATAAAATATTAAAAAAAAGAAAATCAACATTTCTATTTGAAAATTTTCATCCACTACAGGGTCATTATGAGTCAGAATCGACTCGATGGCAATGGGTTTGGTTTTGGTTTTTTTTACCTAAATTGAGTTCCCCCTTCATAACAAATGTTCTGCTATATGATAAAGTTGTAAGTCTCGCTGAAAACCCTGCTGCATTGAAGACATTTATACAGTTTCAATTCATTCTGTTACTTACCGCTCAATGGCATGTCCCTATGTAGTAAAGATTTTCCTACACGTGTCACATTCTTTGTTTCTCCCCATGAGTTCTTCGACTTTTACATCAATTGACTTGGGGATGAAAGATGACAAAACAGGTTTCTCACCTGTGCAAATTTTCTGATATACAAAGAGTAGTAACTTCTCACAGAAGTATATTAGCTACAGTAGGCTGCTTCTGTTGCAGTGCAAACATGAAAAGATCAAAATATGGGATGTCCCAACAGGGTACAGATACCTCATTCACGTGAAGTACAAATGGGGTCTTTGGGGTAGAGACGACAAGACTCTGCTACTCTCAATCAATTCCTCTGTCTTAAGTGAGGGTTGCTATCTTCAGCCTACATCTCCCAAGGTTACCCTGGGGATGAGATCTACTCCAGTCCCACAGGGAATGAGAAGTCAGGGAGAAATGCGTAAGATTTTCGTGGGGCAGCCGTAGAAGAGACGTACATCACTTGTGCACATATTCCATGGCAAGAGCTCAGTTATGTGGTCCCACCCACAGTAAAGGGAGACTGAGAAATGTAGGCTGTGTGCCCAAGAGGAAAAGAAAGTGAGTCTTAGTGAGCACACAGCCACTCTCTGCCACAAATGGTTTCTCCCCTGCATGAGTTGTCTGATGTTTGTTGAGGTGTGACTTCTGGCAAAAAGTTTTCCCACATTCCTTACATTCATAGGGCTTCTCCCCTGTGTGAGTTCTCTGATGCACAGTGAGGGCCGACTTCTGGTAGAAGGTTTTCCTGCATTCCTTACATTCATAGGGCTTCTCCCCTGTGTGAGTTCTCTGATGTTTACTGAGAGTTGACTTCTCACAGAATGCTCTCCCACACTGTATACACTCGTAGGGCTTCTCCCCTATGTGAGTTCTCTGATGTACAGTGAGGTTTGACTTCTGGTAGAAGGTTTTTCCACATTTGTTACACTCATAGGGTTTCTCCCCAGTATGAGTTCTCAGATGAACAGTGAGTTTTGGCTTCACACAGAAGGATTTCCCACATTCATTACATTTATAAGGTTTCTCTCTTATGTGTGTTCTCCGATGTACAGTTAGGGCAGGCCTGTGGCCGAAGGATTTTCCACATTCTTCACATTTGTAGGGCTTCTCTCCCGTGTGTGTTCTCTGATGTGCAGTGAGCATCGACTTCTTGTGGAAGGTTTTGCCACACTCAATGCATCTGTGAGGTTTCTCCCCATTGTGAGTTCTCTGATGTACACTGAGTGCTGACTTCTGGCAGGTTTTCCCACACACACTACACTCACAGGGTTTCTCCCCTGTGTGGATTCTCTGATGAACAGTTAAGTCTGATTTACGGCAGAACGATTTTTCACATTCATTACATGTGTAGGGTTTCTCCCGTGTGTGTGTTCTCTGATGTATTATAAGGACTGACTTGCTAATGAAAGTTTTTCCACATTCACTATATTTATAAGGTTTCTCCCCCGTGTGTGTTTTCAGATGTTTAGTAAGGTTAGATTTTTTACAGAAAGTTTTCGCACAGACATTACATTCGAAAGTTTTCTCTTCTGAATGACTCTGAAGCTGAGTAAGATATAATTTCTTACTGAAATCATTCCCATTTGAATTACATTTGTAGTGTTTCTCCTCCAAGTGAGCTCTGTGAGGATGAAAGAGCACTGGCTGCTCACAAAAGGTTTTCTCACATGCATCACATTTACAATTATTCGCACCTAGGTGAGTTCTCTCTCGGACATTACAGGCTTTCCCATATTCGTTATATCTACAGGATTTCTCCCCTGCATGAGCCGTTCTATGTGTAAAGAATGCTGCCTCCTTATCAAAGGCCTTCCCTCGTCTACTATGTTCAAAAGGCTGCTGCAGAGTTTGCATCTTCTGTTGATGAATAAGATACTCACTATGTCTGAGGGATTTCCCAATTAAATCATGGTTACAAGGTTTCTCTCTAGCACACATCACATCAGGTTCAACAAGGAGGCGTAAGTCCTTACACACATTAAACTCCTCAGGCTTCATTCCTAAACAGTTTCCATTACTTACAACCAATTGGGAAATATGGTTTGAACTCTTGCCACAGGTTACTTTTCTTAAAGGAAAAGGGTTTGTGCTCAAATTAAATGTTTTTCCTAATTCAGCTCCTTCCTTAGTTGATGCTTTCTTGCTGATGATCACAACTTGCCACAAATGTTTGCCTTGACTTTCCCAGCTCCTCTCAATCAGGCCATCCACTTCCTGGACATCTAAAATGAGAAAAAAAAAACAAAAAAAGTTCTATGCACCATCTCTAAGCATTTCTGTGGAAGGGGTTTAGGTGCTGGTGCTCTGTATGTGAGGTTGGCTTCCTGGTGTCAGTTCCAGCGTCCCAGAGTGAAAGTCATTCCCAGAGTATTTTTTTGGTTGTGTTTTAATTCCCTTAGGTTCAGACTAAGCAGAAACAGAAAAAGGACGAACTATAAATGTGTACACACACATTTCTGGACATGTTACAACTATAGCCTTTGAAACTGCTTAAGATACGGGAAAGTAAGCTCAAGAAACAAACTGAAGATATCCCATTTATGGAAAAGTGACTGCTTCAGGGATAGAAAGCACATAAAGAACAGCTGAATCAAACTAGAACAATAAGCGGCACACAGCGTGACAAGGACATTAGTAGACAAGATGTGTAGGGGAAAGTGCAAGGGGAAGTGGGAGTAAGATGAGCAGAGCAGAATCTACGTCCACCTCACACCTGAACAGCTGTAGCAGGATCTTCACTGGTCAACTTGTCTCCAGGACCATTTCTATTTCATTGTGCAACACCAATTAAATTTGTGAAAGCAACAATTTCCTCTTTTTCTAAAAGGAAAATCTTATAACCCATGCTCTAAACCTAGCTATGAATCAAAAGTATACAAACATCTCACAAGAAGTGGACTATCATCAGGGGACAATCCACCTGTGATGGATGGAAGTGTGTCCTCCCAAAATACGTGTTGGAATTCTAACCTCTGTGCCTGTGGATGCAATCTCATTCGGGAATAGTGTTTTCTTTGTTATATTAATGAGCCCATATCAGTGTAGGGTGTGTCCTAAACCTAATCACTGCTGAGTTATAAGAAGCAGCAAAGACACAGAGACAAGCAAGCACAGATGGGAGAAAGATAAATGCCACACTATGTGAAGCTCACCAAGGATCCAAGGATTGCTGGCTACAAGAAACTGAAACAGACTAAAAAGGACCTCCCTCTAAAGCCACACTCTGAATTCAAACCTCTACCCTCCTAAACTGTGAGAAAACCAAAGTTCTGTTCTCTAAAGCCACCCACTAGTGGCATTTCTGTTATAGTCACACCAGAAAACGATACACCATCCCTATTGTGCGGTCAGACCTGTGCTCTCTCCTGGGCTGGCACTTTTCCCGACTGTCCCAGAGTTCATCAAAAGGCAGCCTGTGTCCACAACCACACCCACCTCCCCTACCCAGTGCCCCCTGCTGACCTGGGAATCCTTCTAATGTCCACGGCTCTTCTCCTTGCTCCAATTTGAAGATCACCTCAGGTTTGCTACTGCAATGCCCTGTTAATGGGAAATAACGCAGGACTTTTGCAAAACTGCTTAAGTTTCGGGACATTTGAGGAGTGATGAGAGCCAATTTAACCCTTTCATTAGAGAGAGGAATCACAGGCATTCTTTCTTGCCTCAACTCTCAAATCTAAATAGCATTAAACTTTATAAATGGTCCAAATATTTACCAATGAAGAAAAACTCCTTGTCCTGGGAGTTACTGGGGAAATTCACTCACCTACTGACACCAGGCTGGTATAGTTCTCCAGCATCACGTCCTTGTACAGGGTCCTCTGCGCAGTGTTCAGGTGCCGCCACTCCTCCCAGGTGAAGCCGACGGCCACATCCTCAAACGACACTGACCCCTGTTGTCATGAATTGAATAGAGTCCCCCCAAAATATCTGTCAACTTGGCTAGGCCATGATTCCTAGTATTGTGTGACTGTCCTCCATTTTGGGATCTAATGTGATTATTTTCTATTTTATGTGTTGTAAATCATGACCTCTACGTGTTAATGAGACAGGATTAGATTATGTTAATGAGGATTAGGTTATGTTTATTAATGAAGCAGGATTAAGGTGGGACACATCCTCATTCAAGTTACCATGCCTACCCATGCAACCACCCTTGTTTGAATCACACCTTTTATCTTACAAAAGATAAGAGAGAGAAACAAGCAGACAGAGACCTCAATACCATCAAGAAAGAAGAGCCAGGAGTGGACAGTGTCATTTGGGCCCAGGGTCCCTGCACTGAGAACCTCCTAGACCCAAGGGAAGATTGATGCCAAGACACATGGAGATCTCTAAGGAAATCCAGGCCCACTGATGTAGAAAGGAGTCAAGGACCTTCCTCCAGAGCCAAAGCCTTCCCCTACAGCTGGCACTCTGAATCCAGATTTACAGTCTCCTGAACTGTGAGATAATAAGTTTCTGTTTGTTAAAGCCATATTGACTTGTGGTATTTCTGTTACAGCAGTACTAGATAACTAAGACATCTTTAACAGCATGTCCTCCTCAAGTCATCAGTCTTGGATCACAAGAACAAAATGTCTGGGAGCTGATTCTACATCTCTGCATGTGTGCATTCTGTGTATTTGTGCTACATGTGTTTTTGTGTGTGCATATAAATATATCTTATATAGGATCTTACATAAGACGCTATATATGCTGTTTTGTACTTTATATTGTGGGAGAAAGAGAAGTGTCACGGATTGAACTGTGTCCCCCAAAAATATCTGTCAACTTGTCTGGGTCAGGATTCCCAGTATTGTATGACTCTGTACCATTCTGTAATCTGATGTTATTTCCTTATGTGTTGTAAACTCTATCACTATGATGTAATAAAATGGATTAGCAGCAATTATACTGATGAGGTCTACAAGATTAGATAGTGTCTTAAGCCAATCTCTTTTGAGATATAAAAAAGAAAAGCTGACAGAGACACATGGGGAACCTCATATCACCAAGAAAGCAGTGCAGGGAGCAGAGCACGTCCTTTGGACCTGAGGCTCCTGCACAGAGAAGCTCCCAGACCAAGGGAATACTGATGACACAGACCTTCTTCCAGAGCCAATGGAGAAAGTGTTCCCCTGGAGCTGATGCCCTGAATTTGGTCTTGTAGCCTACTGGACTGTGAGAGAATAAACTTCTCTTTGTTAAAGCCATCCACTTGTGGTATTTCTGTGAGAGCAGCACTAGATGACTAAGACTAGGAGCCATAGTAGAAATATGCTGGTTCTGTATTAATTTATTAATTCCTAAAAACACTGAGTTTCCCTTATATATCTGGAACTGTCCTCGTTGCCAGGGACAACAGGATGAACGAAATTCTGCTCTTACAAGCTCATGACCTGGTATGGTGACATAAACAAAACCTGCAACAATACGTTAGAGGAGCTGAGTTAGAAACTGGATTACAAAGGTAGAGAAACACTGGTTCTATTACATATTGTCGTGGTATGCTTCACTGAAGAGTCAAAGGTGCTTAGATCTCCAACATGAACACCGCTGGAGGCAACAGCATATGTAGCAGAGGCAGGAAGAGCATGCACCGCATCACTGGCGATGAGAACAGTGCAGTTTCTGTCAGCCATGATGGAGGTGAAGGGCATCAGGAGTTCTCAGAACTGATCATGGAGTAATTCTGCATTTATATATTTGACAATAAATTATTCTGGCAATAAAATTTTCACGCACTTACTGTTGTTTTTTAATTATTTATACATTAAACACAAAGGTATCTTAGTATTTCCTTCCCATATCTCAATGGACTGCTTGTGCCCACCCCAGGGAGAACACCTCCACTTCAGAAGCCACAGATGTGAAAAACGGGGTACATTAAGGATGCAAGCTACCTGACGAGACCTGCATGCTAACAGTCATTCCCTAGGAGAAACGAAAATGGCTAAGGAAGAGGCAGAGGAGAAGAAATGAGGGTGAGAGATTACCACCTACATTAAGGTTACAGAGCAATAAGAACACAGAATAGGGAACTAATCCATTAAAAAAAAAAAAAAAAGGCAGCAACAGAATCTGGTACTAATTTCTTGGACAGAGGGTGAAAGAAGTTTTACTTCTACGCTGTCTGCATGGGCAGCTAGGTAGATACTGATGCTATAAACTGAAATTAGGAAAAAGGACAAGGAATATGACAGGTGGAAGTGGGATGGATCCTGGACACATCCTATCAGAAGCATCTGTGGTCAAATGTATTGTTATCAGATGCCCAAGTTCCGACTCATAGCGACCCTACGTACAACAGAAAAAAACACTGCCCAGTCCTGCACCATTCTCACAATCATTGCTATGTTTCAGCTCATTGCTGTAACCACTGAGTCAATCTATCTTGTTGAGGGTCTTCCTCTTGTTCGCTGACCCTCTACTTTGTTGTTTTTGTTGTTAGGTGCCGTCGAGTCAGTTCCAACTCATAGCGACCCTATGTACCACAGAACGAAACGCTGCCCAGTCCTGCACCATCCTCACAATCGTTGTTATGCTTGAGCCCACTGTTGTAGCCACTACATCAAACCATCTCTTTGAGGGTCTTCCTCTTTTTCGCTGACCCTGTACTTTACCAAGCATGCTGTCTTTCTCCAGGGACTGATCCCTCCTGACAACACATCCAAAGTATGTAAGACATAGTCTCACTATCCTCACTTCCAAGGAGCATTCCAGTTATACTTCTTCCAAGACAGACCTGCTCGTTCTTTTGGCAGTCCACGGTATATTCAATATTCTTTGCCAACACCACCATTCAAAGCTGTCAAATCTTCTTCAGTCTTCCTTATTCATTGTCTACCTTTCACATGCATATGATGCAACTGAAAATACCATGGCTTGGGTCAGGGCACCTTAGTTTTCAAGGTGACATCTTTGCTTTTCAACACTTTAAAGAGGTTTTTTGCAGCAGATTTGCCCAATGCAATGCCTCTTTTGATTTACTGACTGCTGCTTCCATGGCTGTTGATTGGGGATCCAAGTAAAATGAAATCCTTGGCAACTTCAAACTTTTCTCCATTTATCATGATGTTGCTTATTGGTCCAGCTGTCAGGATTTCTGTTTTATGTTGAGATGTAATCCTCACTGAAGGCTGTGGTCTTTGATCTTCACCAGTAAGTGCTTCAAGTCCTCTTAACTTTCAGCAAGCAAGGCTGTGTCATCTGCATATTACAGGTTGTTAATGTTGTCTTCCTCCAATCCTGATGCCCCATTCTTATTCATATATTCCAGCTTCCGGAATTATTTGCTCAGCATACAGACTTAATAGGTATGGTGAAAGGATACAACCCTGACACACACTGTTTCTGATTTTAAACCATGCAGTACCCCCTTGTTCTGTTCCAACAACTGCCTCTTGGTCTACACATAGTTTCCACATGAGCAGAATTAAGTGTTCTGGAATTTTCATTCTTCAAAATGGTAACCAAAATTTGTTATGATCCATACAGTTGAATGCCTCTGTATAGTCAATAGGACACAAGTAAATATCTCTTTCTGGTATTCTCTGCTTTCAGCCAAGATCCAGCTGACATCAGCAATGATATCCCTTGTACCACGTCCTCTTCTGAATTTGGCTCGAATTTCTGGGAGATCCCTGTTGATGTATTGCTGCAATTGCTTTTGAATGATCTTCCCCCAAAATTTTACTTGTGTGTGATATTGATCTGGTTTGATAATTTCTGCATTCAGTTGGTGTCATGGTTTGAATTATGTCCCCCAAAAAATGCGTGATCAATTTGGCTAGGCCATGATTCCTGGTACTGTGTGATTTTCCTGTATGTTGTAAACCTGCCTCTATGATGTTAATGAGGAAGGGTGGGCGGCAGTTGTGTTAGTAAGGCAGGACTCAGTCTACAAGATTGGATTGTATCCTGAGGCAATGTCTTGAGGTATAAAAGACAGAAGTGAGCAGAGAGACAGGGGGACCTCATACCATCAAGAAAGCAGTGCTGGGAGCAGAGCGCATCCTTTGGACCGGGGTCCCTGCGCCAAGAAGCTCCTAGTCTGGAGGAACACTGATGAGAAGGCCAACAGAGAGAAAGCCTTCCCCTGGAGCTGACGCCCTGAATTTGGACCTTTAACCTACTTTGACTGTGAGGAAATAAACTTCTCTTCGTTAAAACCATCCACTTGTGGTATTTCTGTTATAGCAGCACTGGATGACTAAGACAGAATTTGGTACCGAGAGTGGGGTGCTGCTCTTAACAGATACCTAAAATGCGGAAGTGGTTTTAAAACTGTGAATAGATAGACGTGCGGCAGTGACAGAGGACCAGCAGCAGCAGAGAACCTACAGCAGCAGAGAAGCGGCAGCGGCAGAGAACCAACAGCAGCAGAACCAGGAGACTGGTGAAAGACGGCACTGGAGCTGACCCACGGAGCGAGAGAGCTGAATGCCTGTGAGCAGGAAGCTTCCTGGAGGAGTGGGGTGCCTCTGGGAACTTATACCGGTGGAGCTACTGAGCTTTGGAACACCTGCCCCAGCAGGGCAGATGCGGGAGGCCCGGGGCCGAGAGGCCATAGGAAGCAGAAGCTGAAGAGACAAGGGACACAAGAAGCCGAGCTGCCTCAGTCTCAAAAGGTATGGCGACGTCAGGGGTTTCAAAGGGTGGAGCCATGGCCTCTGGTGTTTCTTAAGGGTGGAGTTGTCACTCCAATGGACTATGAGAATGGTGCGCCTGAAGTCAAGGGAGCAGAGTTGCTGTCCCAGTGGGCCTGGAAGGCGGAGCTGAAGCCCAGGGCCGAGGGGCCTCCACTCAAATCCAGAGACTGTGGCCAATACCTAGAGTCTGGAGAGCAGGGCCATTGTGTAAATTGTCTCAGAGAACAGAGGATTATTTTCAAAGCCTTGAGGGCTAATGTAATGTGTTCTGCTGACTTGCTTGGTGCCTGTTATGCCTTCTTTCCCTGCAATTTCTCCCATTTGTAATGGAAATGTCTAGCTTGTGCCTGTTCTGCCATTGTACCTTTGGAAGCAGATAACTTGTATTCTAGATTTCACAGATGAAGAGGAATTTTTGGATTTTGGACTTGAAACTTTTGCTATGATATGATGGGGTGAACATGTTTTCCATGTTGCAAGGATGTGATTTTTTGGGGGCCAAAGAGTGGAATGTCATGGTTTGAATTATGTCCCCCAAAAAATGAGTGTATCAGTTTGGCTAGGCCATGATTCCTGGTACTGTGTGATTTTCCTGTATGTTGTAAACCTGCCTCTATGATGTTAATGAGGGAGGGTAGGCAGCAGTTGTGTTAGTAAGGCAGGACTCAGTCTACAAGATTGGATTGTATCCTGAGGCACTGTCTTGAGGTATAAAAGACAGAAGTGAGCAGAGAGACGGGGGACCTCATACCATCAAGAAAGCAGTGCTGGGAGCAGAGTGTGTCCTTTGGACCGGGGTCCCTGTGCCAAGAAGTTCCTAGTCCGGGGGAACACTGATGAGAAGGCCGACAAAGAAAGAAAGCCTTCCTCTGGAGCTGACGCCCTGAATTTGGCCTTTTAGCCTACTTTGACTGTGAGGAAATAAACTTCTCTTCGTTAAAACCATCCACTTGTGGTATTTCTGTTATAGCAGCACTGGATGACTAAGACAGTTGGATCATCTTTCTTTTAAAATGGGCACGGATACAGATCTCTTCCAGTCAGCCAACCAAGTAGCTGTCTTCCAAATTTCTTGGCTTAGATGAGTGAGCACTTCCAGCGTTGCATCTGTTTGGTGAAGCATTCGAATTGGTATTCTGTCAATTCGTGAAGCCTTGTTTTTCACCAATGCCTTCAGTACAGCTTGGACTTCTTCTTTCAGTACCATTGGTTCTTGATCCTATGCTACCTCCTGGAATGGCTGAAAGTCGATTAATTCTTTTTGGTACAGTGACTCTGTATATTACTTCCATCTTCTTTTGATGCTTTCTGCGTCATTCAATGTTTTGCTCATAAAATGCTTCAATATCGCAACTTGAGAGTTGAGTTTTTTCTTCAGTTCTTTCAGCTTGAGAAATGCTGAGTAGGTTCTTCTTTTTTGGTTTTCTAACTCCAGGTCTTTGCACATATCATTATAATACTTCACTTTGTTTTCTCAAGCCGACCTTTGAAATCTTCTGTTCAGCTCTTTTATTTCATCATGTCTTCCATTTGAGTTAGCTACTCTACATTCAAGATCAAGTTTGAGTCTCTTCCGACATCCATTTTGGTGTTTTCTTTCTTTCCTGTGTTTTTAATGACCTTTTGCTTTCTTTGTATATGATGTCCCTGATGTCATCCCACAACTTGGTCTTTGGTCATTAGTGTTCAATGAGCCCAATCTATTCTTAAGACTGTCTCTAAATTCAGGGGGGATATACTCAAGGTCGTACTTTGGCTCTCATGGACCTGTTTTAATTTTCTTCAGCTTCAGCTCTGCATTTTAGCAGTTGATGGTCTGTTCTGCAGTCGGCCTCTGGCCTTGTTCTGAGTGATGGTATTGAGCTTCTCCATCTCTTTCCAGGATAGAATTTGAAATGTTCTTTTTGACAATGAATGCAACACCATTCCTCTTCAATTTGCCATTCCCAGCATAGCAGACTGTAGAACTGTCCAATTCAAAATGGCCAATACCAGTCCATTTCAGCTCA